GGACAAGGTTATAGCCCTCGTGCACCGGAGGGCAACCAAAATACCATATGAATTTTCTCTACTTCCAATCCCTAGACAAACTCTCGCCACTGATCATGCCATAATTAATTACTCACTTGTTTTCACTTTTTTGCTTCCATTTACTCACTTTTACAACAACCACGTTAGACTCATGACCTTATGCTACCCAAGTTTGTATTCTTATCATTTCTTAAAATTCATTTTTTTCATTGACAAATATTTATCTCTACACCTTATCACATTCATTTTTTAAAAGAAAAGGCATTTTCATAGTAGAATTCTCTTAACTTTGCATTTTACATTTTTCAAGTCAAAAATAGCTTCTTCATACACTCAATGAAATATACATGTAGTTTTTACCTAAACAACCCATTCCATGCATGTAAACATTTACAATTCACATTCAACTACCAAATAACAATCAATTGACATATAACTATCCAAAATAGAGTTTTTCCTTAGTTACCTCAAATCTTTGAGAGGTCAAAGGTTTATCCCTCAATTAACTAGCTTCCAAACTTGAACTTCCACTTCAATAAGTGACCAAGAGCCAAAACTACAATCAATCAAGTTGAATTCCATTAACATAACAAACTCAAACAATTTAAACCCTCAATCTCTATTTCTAAATTGCCCAACCTTTACTTTACAAGAGGTAGAGCCTAACCCTTGGGTTTAATAATTACCCTTTAGCCCTCAATAAAATTAATGAGCCATTAAATCTTTATTAATGGCATCATAAACTTCCAACCACCCATAATAAATGAGATTTTTGAAACATTTATGGTGGCCAACAATCCAAGACACCAAAAATCATCATACCTAGGTTTAAATACTCTAATATACTCCCATTAACTCCATTTGAGTTAACAAATTCAGATCCATAACTTATATGGATCGAAATCCTACTTTTACTATCAAACTCTAACCATAAACTCATAAATGTGAAAGAAAAGGAAAGATTAATGAGTATGATACTTACCTTGGGTGTTTATAACCTTCAAAATACTCTCAAAGTAGTCCCTAAGTAAACCCTAGCAGAGCTGTGGCACACCTCTTCTTTCTCTCTTTTCTCTTCTCTCTATTTTCATCTTATTTCACATCTGATAAAGTGCAAAAAATGGCCATGCGCCTTGGCGGATGCACAACGTGCCATAGCATATGGCACAGAGAGGCTCAGAGATGGCTGTGTGCTGCAGCGGATGATCTACTTGTTGTAACGTGTGGCACAGCAATTTCAACTCTTCTTTTTCTCCTCCTTTCGATGCCCAGGTGGCCCGCCTCGATACCGGACCCACAACTAGGGCTGAAATAGCATCAAACATGATTATTAGACCTCTCTGGCCACACACCACTTCAATTTACTTAATTACCCTAATTAAATTTAATTAATCAGGGAATTAAAACTCAGGATGTTATACTATCAAATCAGCTATGTTAAATGGTAGTAAATTCTAGGCTCTAACAGGACGGCAAGAGCATAAAGTTGGAGTAACAGAGATGAGAATGTTACGATGGATGTGTAGACATACACGTAAAGATAAAATTCAAAATGAGCACGTACGCGGAAAAGTGGGGGTAGTATCTATTGAGAAAAAAATGATAGAAAATCATTTGAGATGATTTAGACATATACAAAGAAAACCGTAGGAGGCACCAGTGAGAAGAGTGGAACATATATCTTTGAGCCCTGTTAAGAGGGGTAGAGGAAGGCCTAAAAGAATACTATTAAAAGTTGTTGAACGTGATTTCTTAATTAATAATATTTCTAAAAGCTTGGTAAATGATAGAGCATAATGGCATCTTGCAATCCATATAGTTGACCTCACTTAGTGGGATAAAAGCTTGTTGTTGTTGTTGATCAAATGGTAAAAATATCTAGAGAGAAGGAACAAAACTTTGAAAAAGCAAAAAGTCCTTCAACTGCATTAAGTTTAGATGAAAAATTGCGAAGACGTCCCTTTAATTTAACCTTTTTAAGATTACTAAATTGACAAAAAATTTTTTGAAGATTAATGAAAAATTTTAAAAAATAAAAAATTCTGGAAGATTACTAAAGACTTTTGAAGCAAGGTGAAATATATTTGAAACCAGACACACTTTTTGTTTTTTTGGAAAATACGTTGAAGGCTTTCGAAAAAATGTGAAAGATTATTGAAGAATATTGAATACTATCAAAGATTAATAACTCATAAGGATTTTTTGATAATTTCTCATCCAAACTTAATTTCTTTGAAGGACTTCTTTTTCAAATTTGTTATCCTTGTCCCCATATATTATTTGGGAGAATGGTAAATAAATCCCTTCCAAATAGACAAATGACAAAATAGTATCATAAAATGGGGATAATTACTATGATGTTCCTAAGTAGTATTCAACAGCTAATTAAATTGATGTTATTAATATCAAAAGTAAAGTTATTAATATAGAAAGCATAATTGTTTGTTCATATGCAATAACAAGTACATTTCCTAACATAAAAACCTTAACTTAGTGATTAGCAATTTTAGTTTAAGTATTAAAAACACAATTGATTATAACTTTAATTTAGTCATATTTAATTATGTAATAACAAGTACGCTTCCAATATTAACAACTTTACTTTTAATATTAACAATATCAGTTTAGGCATTCCATTAACAACTACGCTTTCTATTATTTTCCTTAGGGGTGGAAAAGTAATTTTCCAAAAAAGAAATTATGTCAGATAAATCCTGAGGGATTTCATAGTAATTATCATATTTTGTGGTGGTTATTTTTCATTTTCCTATTTTGAGGGAATTTATTTGTCATTTTCTCATATTTTTTGGTTTATTTTATTTTTACCATTTGATCCTTTTAACCAATTTTTCTTTAGCAGTTGAAAAGCGAGTGGCATTAACGCTCGCAATTTTGGAGTCACTAGGCCACAAGTGGTTGACACTCCTCATCTATGCTCTTACAGTAGACTATGGCACTCTATTTTCAATTATTTGTGTTTCTGTACGTTAAATCTCATCATTTGTTTGGGGGCAACTTTTTGCCTTTCTAGATAACCCAATGAATGGTGAAAAATAATTTCCATACATCTTGGAGATATGCAAGGTCCACATATAAATTACTCCTTGTAGGTTTTCCTTAAATAGATAAGGTTAAATTACCAAAAGAGTCTTTTCATATAGCTCATCAAATTACTCATAAGACTTGGACATTGACTTGTCTTTTCAAGTAAGATTTTTTTTTTCTTCAATTTATTTGAAGTAAGAATGGCCTTCATATGATCACTTGCAAAAAAAAAAAAAAAACTAATCTTTTCATCAAACTTCTCATTATAAACTTTGTAACGGTAGATATGATATAAAGGATGGATATGTTTCAATTATCTCCAACAAGAACAATGTTCTAATGAAAAATAATTTAAAGTGAAAATTAATATTATTGTCACTTAGCTTCCAATCATTTTCAATTAAGTCCCAATAGTTTTATAGGGATTAAATCAATCCTCCACTAATGTCTCCATTAGCATTTGGCAAGTTGGTCCATATACATCGGTAAAACTATACAAAGTCATCCATATGTTCCTGGCATTCAAAACCCACATAATTTCTTATGAATATATTAAAAAAAACTTTACAATTCTTACGAACATAATATCTCAAGGAGCTCTATCAAATTAACCACACAGTATATTTTTAAAATAATTACAACGTCTTAGTATTATGCATCGTTTACATATCAGAAGTTAAGAGCAATTTCTGTCAAAGAAAAAATTAACGAAATATTTTCAGAACACTGGCACGAGTTGATAAGGCAGATAGGATGAAGGAAAATTAAATAAAAGTTTTTGGATTGCAGATGGCAAACCTTTACTTTTTAGGCTGCAAATCATCTCTCAACCTATTAGAGCTTTTGCCCTTTTCTGTAAAAAGGTTTAAAGATATATGATGATGCTCATTTCCTTCATATAATTAACTAGCTGGCCCTCCACGACGTTTTTGAGCTGTGTCTCTTGTATTTCTTAAGCATATTATATTATGATAATTGGTTCTTGATAGCCAAGCCATTACTTGAAAATGAAGGCATATTGACATTACATTAATATTTAAATCCTCAAACTTAAGCACCACCGCATTGATCAATCTGAATTGTTGTTGGTAGTGTTTTTGTTTAAATAATAATAATTATATTCATGTTATTATTATTTACTTAATTTTTTCCATTTTTATATCTTTATACATATATGCAGTGAGAAATTAATATAAATCTTTTAGCTGGAAATCTTAAGCGATGATTTGTAAATAATTAACAATTGATTATAAATTTTGAAAGATGAATTATAAATGAGGATGGAGTAAAAAATGTTTTCCATTGCAAAATTTATATTTCATATAAATATTAATAATTTATAAATTTTTTAAAATTTCACGAAATTAAAAGAAAATAAATAAAATAAAAATAAAAATCATCAAAATTATACAAATTTTAATAAAAATAATAACATAAAAATTTATATAACTCAGTTTGAGGAACAAAAATATTTATTAACAGTGATGTAATATGCACAAGTTGTTAGAACTTAGAACCATATTTTTCGAATCAAATAGTGAGAATCAGGGTATTGAGAATAATTCCCCGCCCCCAAGAATCAAGATAAGAAATGTTGTTAAAACTTTAAACAACAGAAGATGAGATATAAATTAGCCCAAATTAAATCAACTATCATACATAATGAGAAACTGGGCTGTAAATTTCATTGAATTACTCTAGTATTCATGAAATGGTTCAATGAATAATTATGAAATCCTTGAAAAAAGAGGTTGATGAATCAAAATATAGGTGTTACTCCAAATCTAGGTGCCAAGAACCAATCAGCTAACCCAGTCGATAAATCAGAAATACAAAAACAAAATAGTAATTGGATCAGAATAGGCAATTGCATTATAAGAATACAATTGAGTAGATCCAGCATGTTCAACACGAAACCTATTATCTAGTCCGAAAGCACCATGCAAAGCAAGTTATAAATAATGAACAATTGAATTATATATAAATAGATGATGGAAGATAAATTGTAAATTACCCCAAAGCTAATATATTCTTATCACTATGCCATCGATGATCACTTCCATGTATATACATTTCATGGCCACATTCCCACTTTCTTATTAAAGATATTCCCATAAGTACAAAAAGCAGTGTGAAGAAGAAGAGGGAATTGTGAAAGAACAAAGAGAAAAACAGGAACACTTGCCAGTATAATAATAGGAAGGAGACCCCATGAATAATTTGTGTGCTTGAGCATGAGACGAATGGTAGAAAGAAAGGCTATCATCATGCTTAAGATGGAGATGAAAAGTGAAGAAAGACCAAGCATCAACTTTGTGGGTATGGATTTAAGGAATTTTTCTTCCGAGTAGTGAGAGGTAAGGATTGCTAGAAACATGAGAACGGACGTGGAGGAAGAGAGGAGTGATAATATGGTTGAGAATAGAAAAACCTTAAAGAACTGTTGTTTGATGAATAATGGGTACCCAAAAGTTTGATCATTTCCTCCTGGCACTGTAAAAGCTACGGCGAACATAATTGTAACAATTAGGCCACCAACAACAGAACAAGAAGATGATGTGGCTTTGATCCACTCCTCTCCATGCTTCATTAAATATTTGTGACTTTTTCTAAATAATTCTTCAGCCGACATGCCGTCCTTGTTTCGAGCTCCTCTAATAGTAGGAGGTATTAAACCCTCCACCTCCTGCATTGATATATATATATATATATATATTCCCAATAGTTAATCAATCAACATGACATATAAAAATTGTCACAAACCAGGCTTAGGCTTCTAATATAATGTCCCAACCTTCCAATTGATTTTTTTTTCCTTTGATCATTTAATTTTACGTAACATGGGAGATATTTTGATATGCCATACAGTGATGGAATTGTAAAATTTTGCAGTTTTATTTTTTATGATTTTTCAAAGAAAAATACCCAACAATATTTATTATTTTTTATTTATTTTCTCTGAATAATTACAAAAAATTCAAAACTACTGCACCATTTCATCATCATAAGATATCAAAATGTCTTTTATTTTGTGTAGAATTTAGTGATCAAAAGAAAATAGAGAAAAACTATTGAAAAGTTGGAGCCTAACAAAAAGCAGCAGCGGTCCAATGCCAGCAGTATTGAACCATAATGATGAGTTCATATATTGTTTTCCCCCCTCCTCCTGACCTTAAACCATTGCAATTCTCTTTGCATTTGTAATGTGGGTCCATAGATCCGTTTAAGAACATGAACAGGAGCTTGAGCAGCTGCCAGATGTAACAAGGTATTTCCATTTTTATCTTTGCTTGATACAATTACATCCTTAAAGCGAAGACCATGGATAAGGCTGAAAACCCCAGCTTGTCGATGCTTGACAGCATAGCAGAACATATTTTGGTATGAGCTGTCTCCAATAAGTAGAAGATCAGGATTTGCTTGTGATATTTGAACCACAAACTTAACATTCCCTTCTTTAGCTGCAAGGAACAGAGCATCTGCAAAAACACTAACTTGGTCCCTTTTGCTTGCATTCTTACAAACTAAGCGAAGAATTTCATCAGCCTGTGCATGCAGCGACTTCAGCTCCTGTAGTTTCTTAATTCCTAAATTGATATGCCACACAAGTGAAGTTTTTCTTATATGAGTTTGTAACAATTATAAGCTTTAAATAAAGCATGTAATTTTGGGAAGCAAAACAAAAAACTTATAAACACACACACGCGCACACACCCCTACCTATAAGATAATAGGTGAAGGAGATGAGTTGTTGTAGTAAACGATGTCCTGTAGCAACATGCAATATAAGTTTTAGCCTCGTTCACTCAAAAGTTGCAAAAGAAATAAATCAATTAAGGATGAAATAAATAGAAAAACAAATTTTCTAGGAGAGTGAAAGTCGAAAGACCTAATCTTTTAATTATTTTTTTTATAAGACAGACAGACAGACACACGCACACACCTGGCCTTGTAAGATTTCCTACATGAGCACTTCCACTTGTGTCTTGTTGTCGGGTAGGTAAACGATCACGATTTGAACTTGGAGTTGAATTTATATCTATATCTTAAAAATTTAAATGAGAAGAATCAGAGAGAAAATATCATCTATGCACCTTAACTAAAAGTTTATAATCTTTTTCACATTATTTCACATATACTATGAAAGTCACAATAATGAAAATATATGCAAGTAAATCTCTAGGAAATCTATATATTAATTCTCTATATAATAATGAAAATACATCTATATATTATTTCACATATACTTAATAAATTCAATTTAAAATTAATGATGATACATAGTCAAAGGACTAAACACTCCAATTCTATTTTTCATTGTTGTATTTACATAGCTTAGTTTATTTTTGTAGGGTTTCTATCTCATTTATAGAATACTCAACGACTTAATTACTCATTTATAGAAAGTAGTCGACTCATCCATACAAATCTTATTTGTCAATGACTTCAGATCAATCAAGCGAGTATGGATTAAATATATAATCAATTGACCATTACTTTAAAGCGACTATTCTACTAAAAAAACGAAATGTTCCAAATGTTCTCCAAATTCCTGGTCTCTTTGGATCATTTGTATGGATAGGCATCAAGATCTTGATTCATATCTCAGTTTGAGAAACGAAAAAGGATCAAATTATTTCTCCTCACTCTAATTATATGGATAGATTAGATGTAATCATACTTTTTTATAAAAAAAGATATATTAAATATATTTATATGATAATATAATCATACTTTTTGCTGGTTGATAACTACTTTTGTCGCATTCTAACCTTTTTTCCTGTACCGTTATGTTAAAATTTCATATACACACAAAATTAGGTTCAAAAATAGAGAATTTAATATAAACAAACAATAATCTACATATTGTATTGTAATAAAATGAAAGAATATATAAGATATATAAAAATTTGAGTAGGACTACTTACAGTGAAAGACCAATTGTTTCCAAAACACAAGATCACTTGGGCTGGTGAGTGCAGAGTTCATGGTTGCTATGCCATAAATTGGCTTCCAACCCTCTTTATCAGACACGAAAAGCAATTCTTGGCATTTTTTGAGCAAATGCAAAGCAATATCTGTTTATCATAGTCATACCATTATATATGATAACAATTCAAAAGGTATAATAGTAGTCTTTCTAGTCACATTAGGGATCACAAATATTATAATATAACATAAATAAATAACACTCTATGGTTGAATCTCAGTGAACTACTTGCATTGGTTTGCTTGAATCAGTTAAAGAAGCCTTATAATAATAAACAGATGGAGTATCTTATATCTAACAACAACTTTTAAATCAGAAATACCATACCAAAATTTCAAAGATTAGATATAGTTTAATTGTTTACTCGTTTAGATGTGAACACTACTAAAAGAGGGACCATCTAACAACAACAAACATATGGACATTGAGAGAATAACAAAAACAAAGATGAAAGAAATTAAAGAAAAGAAAAGAGGAATAATCAATTGATAATTAACTATATATTTAATACTCGAAAAAATATTTTTTGCAAGGATTGATGTATTTCTCATTTCCGTTTTCATATAAAACAGTTTTTCTACCTATCAAACATTACTGTATAAGGTTCTCTTGTTGAGTAACGTTACACGTACCGAAGCATTGTGTTTGCAAACAACAATGAAGTAGCATAGGACCTTGCAAAGTGCTATTCTGTGGGTGTAGGAACTTGAAAGGAGTGACAGAATAAAGATAACGTCCCATTTGTTGATGACCATTCAGAAAAGCTAGTGTGAGAGGAAGTTCATCGGTTGAGTTTGCAATGCCAAGTATGCTGTCGTTCTTATTCACTAGGAATTCTGCGACCTGAGTAATTCCAGTGATTGTAGCAATTACAAGAGGCGTGTTGCCAAAGTCATCGGCAGTTTCAAGGAATTTTGGAGGCACTAATTTGAGTAACTCCTCAACTATGGTCACGTGCCCAAACAGTACTGCCACGTGAAGTGCTGTTTTTCCTGAAGGAGTGATTTTTGCAGTCAAGGCACTAGGGTTTTCATCCAAGAATGCTTTTGCACTATTCCAGTTATTAGCACATATAGCCATATATAATATATCCTCGTCTTCATTTGTTAGTACTACTTTATATTCTTCTCTATTTGCCCTAGCTTGTCTTTCTTCCTCTGCTTCTCTTTCTTCTTTGGCTCGTTTGTCCTTGTCAGCCCTAGCTCGTCTTTCTTCCTCTGCTTCTCTTTCTTCCTTTGCTCGTCTGTCCTTCTCAGTCCTAGCTCGTCTTTCTTCCTCTGCTTCTCCTTCTTCCTTGTCCTTCACAGCCCTAGCTTGTGTTTCTTCAGTAACTCTTTTTCGGTAGGCTGCAATGAATGCCGAAGCTTTTATATCCATTTCCGGCTCTGCTGCAGAGCGAAAGGGATCTTCATCTTTCTCTGAAAAATCAACTTCATATGTAAGCACATGCATCAACATATAATTAGGATATGTTAATAATTATCATGAAAATATGCATAAAGTAATTGATTTTTTCCGGTCTATTTTAAAATTATAACAGCGTTTCTTACTTTCTTTCATAATTGGAATTGATTCAAAACATTACAAACCGGTCAAAAAGTAACCTGATTAAAAAGGAAAAAAAACCAGCCAAGTCCACCGACCCATTCAAACTTAAACAAAAAATGTAATTAATATTATAAGACATTTTCTTTAAAGTCCAATGTTTCAATTTCTTAGGCATTTTGAAGAATTGCCGGTGTAATTGATAACTTTTCACTTAAAATGCCCATATGGTTGTATCACTATTACTTGCAAATAATTAAAAATTGTCATTAGACATTAACAGGGTAAATTTGAAAAAAAAACTTGAAATATCAACTAACTTGGTGGGTGTGTGAGAGGTAGTTAAAATGGATTACAATAATAAACCCAAGTAAATTTCTAAAATATGCATTCCTCACTAGATTATTCATGACACTCCACTATAACAAACCTGGCATGTTTCACTTCCCAAAAAAAGAAGTAAATTTCTTGGAAAAACAATATAAAGAGGAGTTCTCATGGAAAAACATATCAGGTCTTATCCAAAAACAAGAATTCCTTTTGAGATCCCTAAAATTAAGGTATCTAACAAAATGAAAAAAAAAAGAAAAAGATTTCTAATTGTTGAGATTTCTTGACATGATCCAGCTTTGAAGAAACAATTAATTGAAAATAAATAAAGGCACATAACAATAAAATGAAGATTAAGTTTTATAGAGTGGCCTGACCTGTTTCATGCAACCTCACCGACTTAAAGATAGGCATTTTGGCTTTGATGCACTTAATCTCTGTTATTATTTTGCAACCATGAAAGAAAAAGAGAGGAAAAAATGAGTCACATAACAAATATGATTAAAATAATAAATGTCGTTGTTATTTAATTATTTACCTTATACAGTGATATATATGAACATATTGGGAGTACATCTTGAATATATTGTCGAGTATACCATCAGAACAATAAAAACTTAAATAAGATCCAAAGTATTGCACCAATATATGATACTTTGCATTGCATATTAGCGGAAAAAAAATGGTTGCGTGTTATATATTAGGCATAATTTCAGAATATGTTAATGATGGGAATGAGGAACAACCGCTAGGTAACCAGGTTCTGACAACAAAATGGGCTTTTAAGTCCTAGGCAGAACTAGGAATGGGGAGTAATCGTTTCTCGTTTGAAAACGAGGAGAGAGAAGAAATAGGCAAAATTAAAAGAATATTATATTTTAAATTAAAACTTTAAAACTAAAGTTTGGGAGTCATTGTCTTTTATTATATATTAGTTATTACACTCAATTTATTTAATGTGGGACTTTTCATATTGATTTAAGTTCACTCACATTTGAATAACCTAATAATTAATAACCAATATCATGTTAATAATAATTAAGAACAATTACCTTACTCAATTTGTTATAGATTTGATGAGAAGTTATTATATAGAGATATATATATATATATATATATATGACTAATTATTTCATCAATGTACTCACAAATATACCTTATTACGTGCTATAAAAAAAGTATATTATTACGAATCACAAAGCATTATCAAAAAATGCAATATATATATGTATATATTAAAAAAAAGAAAGAAAGGACAAATAACAAGAATGAAATGCACTTACCACTAGTTCTTTGCTTCGGCCTCCGCAGAAGCTATATTGACTACATCTCAACAGCAATATATATTGCATAAAAGATAGAACAAATGTTTGCTTGCGTTAGTTTCCAAGGAATCATCAATCACTTTCTTTTTTAATAAAAAACTAGATTAATTAATTGTAAGACTTTACCAGAATAAAAAATAAATAAAGTAAGATTCAAAGTAAAATTACACTCTACAATACAATAATATTTTCGAACAACTCAGATTCACAAAATACTATGCACAATATATATTTGATTGAATTCTAATTCGAAACATAATGTGTGTGTGTGTTTGTGTGTGTAATTTATTTAAAAAAAAACTGCACTATCCATAACACATAAACAGTTCTTCTAGATTCAGACTATACATGCATCGTATCTATTTATAATATTAAACCGAACAAAAATCTCAATTTTCACAATATTGCTTATTCTTATTACACTCACCTTTCCAACTTAAAGATTTCTTTGTTTAAAAAACATTACCATACTCGAGTTGTTACAAATATAATGGCCACTTATACCCAAATATTAATTTCTTTAAAGTAGTCCAGCATACAATATATACTCCCTACGTCTTTAAGAAGTCTTTCAATACTTTTTCTATTCCTAAATATAAGTGGTTGTTGGCATTTTTTTATGAATAGACCATTATACCCTTATTAAATTGAAAAGAGAAAAAAATAAATACTCTCATTAATTTACTTTAGAAAAAGAGATTCATTTTTTTATTTAAAATAATTATTGGCAAAATTAAAATATTATTGTGTTTTTAATTAGATAACTAACTTTATTGATTTGCGTGATTCAGTTAAAAATATCTTATATATAAGGACGGAGGAAGTATATCATTACCACTTTTTTTTTTTGGTTGATAGATTATACTATAGAATATAGGTTTTCTTGCGTTAGTTTCCAAGGAATATAATCATCAATCCCTTTCTTTTCGAACAATTCATGTCTTAATTAATGCGTACGGATTTTCTTATACTCCTTCCGATCTTATTTATAAGATATTTTTTAAAAATAATATTTAATCCAAAATATAGAATACCTAGTAATAATTAAATCACTTTTTTTCAATTTTACCCATTATCGATTAGCGTAAAGGTATTTAATGTAGTTATATTCTTATTTAAAATTAAGGGTAAAAATAAAAGTATTTTTTATTTTTTTATTATATAAAAGACCTAGATTTTTTTAACATGCGTGAAACGGATAAGGACTGGAGGGAGTACGTCGCTTTAATTTTCAATTTTTTTAACTTCCCATTTTAGGTTAATCACAAAGCATATTCTCTTTAATAATTAAATGTTGCTTTCAACTCGGTGGCAGCAAGACGACAATGGAGGACGAAGGACAAAAGATAAGAGCACTTGAGTTTTTTTTTTTTTTTTAATTACGAGGATTACATTGATTTAATATAAGAGCACTTTAGTTTTTTTTTAATTACAGGGATTACATTGATTTAGTTATTAACATCTTTCAAACTAATTTTGGATGTAAGAAAATTACAAGAAATGATGTAAATCATGCTTTACAATAATGTAAATTTTTCTATAAAAAAATAACGTAAATTTGATAACCACCACGTAAAAACTCAACCACTTACATTACCTCATCTTTATCATGATACATCAACTAACCAGGGAGTGAGGTCTAGTAAAAAAAACTAATCCTTTACAATATGGTAAACCAATATTCAAATCTTGACTAGGAGATGTGCCCACATTTAGTAACTAATCATGCTTTTAACATGACTACCTCTTATGGAGGGTACCTATGGGCAATAAAAAAACTAAACCAGCATTTAGTTAGGGACATTTTCAATACATTGTATAGGAATCACATTGTCTTTGCTTGAAACAACATAACTTACACTTAGAGCTGGCAAAAAGGGCCGGCCCTTGAAGGGCTAGGGCTTAAAAGGGCCAGCCTTTTTAAGCCCGAGTTTCCTTTAGGACCCTGATATTCGAAGCCCGATCCTTGACATTGCGGGCTTTAGGCCCTTTTAACTATTTTTATTTTTTTAAAATTTTTTAATCAAACAAAAAATTACTCCATTCTAATATAATACTCAATCAAGAAAGGTACAAAAAAAAAACTAACTAAATAATATCTAAATGAATTAAAAACACAAATAAAATAATAGCAATGCAATAAGCAATGGATCGACTAAGCTGACAAACACCCAATCAAGATTAGAAGAGTAAATGTTGAATTGAATGAATCATTATCATGGATCTAGATGAAATAGGGGATTTAAAGTTGTATTTTTTTTTAGAAAATAGCAGCCAAGGATTTCTGTATGAAATTTATATCAATTAAGAATCAATTGTTGTCAAAATCTGAATGAAAAACAAACTACAATGAACTATTATTAATTTAAAATGAGTTGTTATTAAAACCTAAATGAATACTTATTGATAAAGGCTAACTCGAATCCACAAGTATCTACTCAAATTTTGACAACAAGTGATCCTTGATTGATATAATTTTTGATCAGTGATTCTTCATTACTATTTTTTTTGCCTTCCATCCTCAGTAAATATGGGCTAATATGTGATGTGGAGTAAGATTTAGTTTAATTTTTTTCAAATCTAAAAAGAGTAAAAATTATGAGAATTAATTAAAAAAAATGCATATGCGGGCTTAAATGGGCTAGCCCTCGACCCTGCAAGGCCGATCCTTTTTAGCCCTAGATTAAACGGGCCAGCCTGTTTAAGCCCAATTTATCATTTTGGAGTCCTATTTACAAGCCCGGCCCTACTGTTATAAGGGCTTAAACGGGCTAGCCCAATGGGCTCGGCCCGTTTTTCTGACTCTACTTACACTCCCTCTAGTCCCATTTATAAGACATGTTTTAGAAGGTTCATTTGGTTCTATTTGTAAGTCACGCTGTAATTTTTTAAGTAATATTTAAAAAGTATTTTTAAAATTACCCTTCATGAGAAAGAAAAAATAACATAACATCACTTTTTAAATTTACTATATAGGGATATATTTGAAATTTCACACACTTTTATTTCTTGTACTTTTTTTTTGCATTGATATTGATAAAGTTAGTAAAAATGATTTATAAAGGGAACCGGAGAAGTAAATTTTATAGTATATATGAATATTAATTTTGATCATTACTAGTTAAAGGACAGAAAGAATGAAAAAGAAAAAGAAAAAGTTCCAAATATATTCCATGCTAGAGTTGTTAAAGCTCTTGCCTTAGATTTACGAGCAAGCTGTCTCATTTTGTTATTGTGAATTTCTTTTCTATAATTTTCTAGTTAATTAATGAATAAAATTAGCCTTTGTAAATTGTGAGAACAATATTGTATGGTTTTCAAATGATGCAAGATAATGTTGCGCACACAAAAAATTAGGATCCCAAACGCTACGCCTACAACTGAAGAGTAAAATAGTCCTTTTAATCCGATAAAATAAAATACATTATTTGGTAATATAAAAGGCAATCGCCGTGGTTGTTTTCCCCTAGGATAGATTCGCTCATAGCATATACGAAGGCGGTGCAAACTGCGAAGTTAAAACAACAGAGAATCGCTACGTGGGGACAGCATAGCCCGATGATTCAGCACAACCTATTTCCCCATAAGAGGCCCCAGGCACATATGTAGGTGAATCCACAACTAGCAAAGGTTCGTTATTATTTGCATATTCCAAGGGGATTATAATGAAACAATAACAAAAAAATCCCTCTAAAATATATGTAAATAACAATGAGGTACCGAAAAATGCCAAGCTTTTTTTTGAGTCTCTATGGACATTTCTGGCATTAATTTTTTACTAAATGACTAAAATGCCCCCAGTTTAAAATAAAAGAATTAATAACTCTGGTTTCAAAAAAGTAAATATTAGTAATTACTTTAATTTAAATAATGATTACTTTGTTAATTAGGTCTGATCATTGAGCCTAAAAGGAAAAGGAAAAAGAAATTCATGAAATGCACCCACTGTTCGTTCCTTTAATAAGCTTTGGCCCCCACAAGTGCATAAATTGAGCATATGCTTCCTTGTGTTAGTTTCCAACGAATCATCAACCTTTCATTTCTTTTTCAATAGTTCAGATTTTAATGAGAATGGCTTTAATTTTCTTCTCGTGTATCTGTTGATGATATGTTTCAATTATTTAAGCTTTTTAAAATTAAATCTTTAAACTTTTTGGGATAACCTTTTTCTTTTCTCGGTAATATATGGTAAATGGTGAAAATATATATAATTTCCATACCTCTCCTTGCAAGGTATATTGCATATGATTTACATTGTATAGATTAAAGGTCGATGCTTTCTAGCTACTATCAATAGAAAAAAAAATGGATGGTTGATATTTTATTAATATTTTAATTCAATAACTTTATATTAAGAAATTTAAAATGTTCGTATTTATAATATGAAATGATTCATGTGAGACATATATGCAAAAAGTCATAGCCCCCCTGTGAGAGACTTGATACTTTGCTTTGCTACTACTTAAATTTCTTTGGAAAGAAGCTTACTTGGAAAGCCTATTGACAAAGAGTTTTAGAAAACAAAGAACAGTTCGAATCAAACTTTAATTTAACTATGACGTACTTTGTGCACAAAAAATATGAGAAAATTGAAAATAGCCAATCACCTTTTCACTGATAATTTTTTTTCCATTCAATAAGAGCAGAAGAAACAGAAAGATGAAAACCACAGTGTAATGACCATAACTCTCATTTTGTTTGATCGATCATGAGGAGACTTATCTATAATATTTTGGTATTTTTAAAAAATACAAAATAGCTTCTTGATCAAAGATAACACTAGTGCACAATACTACTTTTGTGTCAGTTAAATTTACATTTTCGTGTCACTATATGGAATATAGTAAAAATAAGTTTAATAATAATAATTAATTTGCACAACTGTAGAAAAAGTGTTGATTCTACAAGTGTACGAGTCATGACAAGTAATAAAGTATGAGTAAAATATTGTTGTCATGAAAATTTATTTTTAAAAAAATGTGATCAATTAAACAAAAGACTTTGCAATTTCAATCAAGTTGAGAAAAATACAATTAGTTGAAAAAGTTAATTTTGAAAATTATATTAAAACTAGGGAATTGAGAAAAGCAATTGATTTTTAGACTTCAAGATTAAAATGGAATCTATGATTATTTATCCCCCTTGAAATTCATAACACTAAAATTGCTTCTTCTCATATATGTTTTTAAAGAAAACAAGTGCTAACCTGGAGTTTCAAAAATACTTGAGCAAGCTCTATCAAATCATGAACAAATCTTTAGTCAAAACAACTATCCAATCTCTTATTACAATTAATAAAATTTAATTTCGAACTCTAACCCTAACGTGGCTATACAAGATTAATAAATATATCTCTCTATCTTATTAACACAACCATCCATTTGCAAATTTCAAGTTTTTGCATTATTTTACCCAAGTTCAAACACTTAAATTAGTTCTCTCAAGTATCACCCAAATTAAACAAATAAATTAGCTAAATGGTAGCCAATCACTTAAAAGCATTAAGAGAAGAATAAAATAAACACTTATATATCATTAAACACAAAAGGAGAGGAGAAAATTAGAGTTAATCGATACAATGATTCAAAATAATACTAGAACAAAGAGTTTAGCTTCTCATAATCATTTAAAAGATACAAATATATAAAATATTTATAGCCATAATAGATTACAAGAACAATGGAGAAGAAATGAAGGAATCGAAGAAATAGAGTTTCAAATGTCTTCAAGCTTTAGCCCTTGTACTTAACTCATTCAAAGCCAAAAGCTCAAAACTCTAGCACAACCAAGCTCTCAAAGTGTTTTCAAGTGTGTAGAATGAGTTTTAAGTCGAGCAAGCCACATACATGTATCCTAATGAATTATTTTTAGGTTAAAAAAATGTAACATTTTGCTGATAGCAACGAACATCAAGAATAAAGTCATGACTTTAATGACAACTTGGGCTATTTTTTCACATTCCTCCCAATTAATAAACTAATTATCTTTGCACTTGATTTTTTCATCTAAAAGCCTTCCAAAAGCATGTCTCAAATTAATGTCAAGTGTATAGACCCAAAATAAGATAAACATTTTCCTAATTATGGAAATTAAAATATATACAATTGTGCTGAAATGTATTAAAATCAAAGAAAAATATTCTCACATAATATGAAATTCTAGAGGATAATTGAAAGAAACCGTTGTCATAATAAGAAAATTATGGCGTCAGTCACCACAGGCAAGTGACGACCAAATAGGGGAATTATGACGTCGGTTTCCATGCGTAACTTACACCGTAATTGGTTTGAGCGATTTAATTATGGTGTCAGTTATCATCCATATAATTGACGCCGTAATCAATTTTCAAAAAAATAATTTCTTTATACACAATATTAGTATCCAGCAACCGATACAGCATTTTAATCAAAGAATTACAAACAAATGATTCAAAAAAAATTATATATTTAACATGACCCAATTTTCATGTTCTAATAGAAGTTCGCTAAAATAAGAATTCGTTTTTGCCTCCCCAACTCAACGGGGATCTCAATCAGACAGTGTGCCAAAACAAAATGCACAGTAACAAAATTAATAACACCTTAAATGAGATAAAGCTCATTCATTAGGACTGCTTTTACACCACATTGGTAGGAAGATTTAAACTTGTAATTTTGTTAGTTATATGAACGAAAGATTTACCAACCAAATCAACTTTTGCTAATGGAATGTATTTAGTTTTTAACTAAACGATGGAATATATGAAATGTAGCAAATAAAAAAAAGAATTATGAAAAGTAATGGTAAGAGCTTTTAAGGTACTTATATATGCCATTTACTGAGGATATATTTGTAAAGATGCACATAATTTTTTTATATAAAATTAAGGTTTTAACTATATTTTTTAAGAAGAGTGGCTACTAATGCTCTAGCTATATTGGTGAGATGGGCAAATGCCCCCATTCACTTGGGAAAAAATGTATGTTAATGTAATAAAATTTTACACTTTACCCCCGAAAAAATTTTAGGATCTTGAACCTACTAAAAATCAATCTTCCTCACTTGAAAAAAAATAATGCTTCAATGTAGTACTGAAATTTAAATATGTTTCTGTATTTTGAATATAGAAGTGAAAATATAATTATTTAATCAATTTATATGTTACTTAATTTAAAGTTAAACATATTGTATTTAAATAATAAATTTCCAATTTTTTTATTTTTTTTAAACTGTCCCCATTTAATACAAGCACGAGAGATTTGTATGATGCACTGGTCAATCTGCATTATATATTATTTTGCAATGCATTAATGTTTAATCATTTTTGAGAAATTAAAATACATTAATAACTTGTACCTCGGAAAAAAAAATAACAAGCACGTTAATAAGAGTTAAAGTCCCTATAAATTAATTGCATAAAAAATGAAATTATAAACATATTGCATTAAAATAAGGTGAGTGCGTTTAATAAAAAAAAAAGGTGAGTACAAAAATATGAAAGCGAGAATCACATACAAATCATACACAACGCTATCGTTAGGTCCATTGACAATTCCCTCTGCTAAGTTGTCAATCAACCTTAAAGTGTTTAATTATATTGCGAGGACCTCAAATTAATTCTTTCAACATGAAACATGCATGCCAATCGACTTCGAGCATTTTGGATCACACAAGCCATAGACCATAGTGACAACAATTAATATAAAGTGGTTATTAAAAAAAAGTTATTTGGGTCCAAAAAGGATTAGGGCCATAATTAAAGGTGGCACAATAAGGGATTCTGTCCAATAAACGTAGAGTAATCCTACGAAAAGTATGAAAATCACATCCTCTCAGTCTAAAAAGGAGTTGGTCCTTATAATAAAACAAATCAACGTTTGAATTCTTATTAGGAGAGGTGTCTCCTTACTGCATCTTTTACCCAAAACTATTTCCCACAGATAGGATCAAGAGGGCTAGGAAAACATCAATTACGAGAAATCGTCTCAAGGCCACAGCTCCACTTTCTCGTCAAAGATATCTCCGTACGTAGTAATAGCAGTATGAAGAAGAGGGAATTGTGACAGCACAAAGAGGAAGATTGGAACGCTTGCGAATATAATAATTGGAGGGAGACCCCATGAGTAGTTCGCACGGTCCAGTATGAGACGAAGGGTGGAAAGAAAGGCTATCATCATGCTTGCAATGGAGATGAAAAGAAAACAAAGGCCCACAATCAATTTTGTAGGTAGGTAAGGATTTCAGGAATTTTTCTTCTGAGTATTGAGAGGTGAGAATTGCTAGAAACATTAGAACCGAAGTTGAAGAAGAGAAGAGCGACAAAATAGTTGAGAATATGAAAACCTTGAAAAATGGCTGTGCGATAAATAATGGGTAGCCAAAAGTTTGATCATTTCCAACTGGCACACTAAAAGCTGCAGCAAACATAATGGTCACGCTTAGGGCACCGACAACAAAACATGAAGATGCCGTGCTCTTTATCCGTTTCTCTCCTTCCTTCATCAATTCTTTGTGACTTTCTCTAAATAATTCTTCTGCTGTCATGCCGTCCTTGTTCCGAAATGCCCAAAAAATTGGAGGCATTAAACTCTTCACCTCCTGCATTTATTTCAACAAGCATTTAAGTATTTCACATTCTCATCAAAATACCATAGCCAGTTCAACAGAGGAGAGGACAATGGTTTGGCCCATATATAACTCCTAGAATTGAGAGAAAATGGTCAGCAAAGAAGGTGGAAACTTTGCTTCAAAACTGTAATTGATTCATTACTTTATGAGGTACTCCCTTTGTCCCTACAAGACATCTCTAACCATCTCCTCAGAACTAAAAAAGGTGATTAAATTAATATATATATATCAATTTTTTTCCCTAAAAGTACCTCATAATAAAGGACCGGGGGAGTACTTATTAATAATAGGTTGGATCTTATAAAATATCATAACTCAAAAATTAATGCACGTTTCTTTTCTTAATTACCTTGAACCATTGCAATTCTCTTTGCATTTAGAGCGTTGGTGCATAGATGCGACTAAGAACGTGATCAGGAGCCTGCGTAGCTGCCTTATGTAGAAAGGTATTTCCTTCATCTACATCTAGAAACAAGGCACGCTTGAAGTGATGCCCATGGATAAGATTGAAAACCCTAGCTTGTCGATGACTAAGAGCATGGCTGAAACATGAAGTCAATGTTCGATTGACCATAATTTCTGGGATTATTTTAGATACTCGAAAAATGAACTTAACATTCCCTTCCTTAGCTGCAAGACATAAAGCCTCCTCCAAAACTCTCTTCTCGTATGCTTTCCTTGCTTTCTTACAAACCAGTTCAAGAAGTTCATCCGCTTGTGCATGCAATAACTTGAGCTCTTGTATTTTCTTAACTCCTCCCAGATTGATACGTAACGCACATGCATCTTTTTTGTTATGAGAATTAAGAGTGAGCTTGAAAAAGTATACAATTCGTTGAAGAGATGTGAAAGTGAGAATGCATACTTATAAAATTATCGAAGGTGATGAATCTTTGTAGTAAACCATGCCCTATTGCAACGTGCATGAGAAGTTTTAAGGGAGAAAGACAATTAAACATATCATAAAAAAATTAATGCCAAATCAAGATCTCATCCTAACTTACGTTTTTAAATTCAGTACTCATCCCCCTATGTTTCAGCTAGCATTGAATTTTTTTTAAAAAAAATCCTGATTTCATTCATATTAATCTAATTAGGAGAGGTTCTTAGTTGTCAATATCTCAAATTTTTTAATTAAAACCAAATCTTGTGTATTTTTCTCTCCGAACAAATGTTCAAATAGAAGTATTCTATTGAAGAGCTTTTTTTGTCAACCTATATATTGAAGAGCTAACAAAGTTGTTTTGAATTAATCTGTAAAATATTAATCCTAGGGTTGCCCAAAGATTGGGTGAAACCAATTAAGTTAATTTATTAAAAACAATTATATATATAAATATATGTTCTGTATACCCCGGCTAAAAGCCTTTGACCTCTATTTATTTCTGTAACATATATACATACCTGGCTCATTAAATTTTGCTTTTGCTCTCTGACTTCTGTCTTCTCGCTGGATGTCCCCGCAAACAATAGCTGGGGTTGGAAGTAAACTGATACCTTAAATGGATGAAAGTAAATTAATTCCCCCAGGTAAAATAATACATAAATAATAAATTGGATAAAAGAAGGAAGTAAACATATTATAAGACCTATTGATAATTATATTGCAGATAGCAAAATGACTTACTGTTATTTTTAGTTGTCATTTTATTATATTCAGTTGTCAGTAGATCTTATAATATTTAATTATACTATAGGGAACTTCAATGTAATTCTCCCTTCAATTTATTTCTTTTTATAAGAACCTAATCTTTATTATCTACAGCATGTATTGTTTTTTTAAAATAAAATTACCCCTATTAGTTGCCCCAGCTTTGGTTAATGGAGATGCTCCCACGTTGATTACAAGATGGAAAAATAGAGAGAATGCATCAAGGGTATTTTTAGCAAGAAAACGTAACTTATTCACAAATTTATCACTTTTAAGTTTTAGTTAAAATAATCCTTCGTAATAGGTATCAAAACAAAGACCCTATCACTGTCCTAATATATGCTGCAGCATACTAGAATCTGAACAATGGAGAGAATAAACAAAATCTACAAACGATAATGAAAAAGAAAGACAACATTTGAAATATATAGTTAAGTACAGTGATACTGACAGTTATAGATGCATCGTTTCCAGAACACAAGTTCACTCGGGCTGAGAATAGCAGCGTTCAAGGTTGCGATCCCATGACTTGGCATCCACTCCTTACCCGAAAGTTCATCATCGGTAGGCACAAAAAGCAATTCTGGGCATTGTTTAAGCAAATCCAGAGCAATATCTACACATATATACACAAATATAATCGTCACAGCATGCATACATTGACAAAAACGGTACAAATTAAACATGGAGAGAGATGAAAAAAACGTACCAAAACATTGTGCACGTAAACAAGAAAACAGAAACCTAGAACCCCGACGGTGTGTGAGGTATTCCGGTGGAGTTTTAGAATAAAGATAACGTCCCATTTCTAGGTAAGCAAAATGAAAAGCCCTTATAACAGGAAGATTATCACGTGCGTTTGGAATGCCAACAACGTCTCTGTTTTTTTTTTTTTTTTTCTATGAGGCATTTTGCAACTTGAATGCTTCCAGTGTTTGTAGCCAATGCAAGTGCCGTATTGCCATGAGAATCACCAGTTCCAAGGAATTCTGGAGGCACCAATTTTAGCAACTCCTCAACGATGTTGACATGCCCAAACATTGCAGCCATATGGAGTGCTGTTCTGCCTGAAGCAGCAATTTTTGCAGTTAAAGCATTAGGGTTTTGATCTAGGATTGCTTTCACACCTCTCCAATTGTTATCACATAGAGCAACGTTCAAATCTTCCTTCCATCCACTTTGGTCGCCTCTAATCCGCACCATTTATGCAAGCATCAACGCGTTTTGCTAAATAAAGTTATTAATGCAAGTCTCGGGCACATTTTTCAAGCTTCATATAATGCACAAGACAAGCATGGTTACTATCATAAGTTTTGAAAAAAGAACTCATCCCAAAATGCTAGTCTGCTTGGTGGGATAGTATTAAGGGGAACGACCAATAGGAAACATCGAACTCAAGTTTATGCAGGGTCATCCAATTCCATCACAACACTTCACTTAACCTTCTGTCAATCAAACCTTGTTGTGGGTGAGCCTCCATGAATATTGGCCTCTCAGTAAAAGTACTAATATAATGTTACAAGCATAAATTCAAAGAGGAAACCCATTCTAAAAAAGTAACATACAAACTATGCTCTTATCAGACAACATTTTGGTTGAATTAGAAAAAAAATATCTAGAACTTTTGGGATTCAATGGATGGGGAAAAAAACCTTATCTTCTCTCTTGGGATTGCATTACTTCGGGGAAAAAAGATGAAGTCTTCACATCAAGAGTCTCAAGAATCATAACATTGCTTTCATCATGAAACTTTATTGGGGCCTCATCACCAAACCTAATTGACTTGGGTGCATGTCTTACATGACAAATATAAATGTGATAAACCCACTATTCCAATGGTTATTAAACCTAACTCTTGTTTATATACTTGGAGTAATATATATAAAGTTTGGGATAAATTTATGTCTTAGGGTGGTTGGAAAGTGGGTAGAGGAGATCAATATCATTTTGGTATGATAAATGGTCCCTCCTCACTAATCCTCTTGTTATATGTGCTTTCCATAATGCCAACTCCACTCTTCACACAAGAGTCTCAAATTTTTGCAATACCACAAGTGGTTGGAATTTTAATTTTTTAAAATGCTATCTCTCTTATGATGTCACTAGAAAGATTGCACTTGTGCAACCTCTAAACCAACAGGATGATGAAGACATTCTCTTTTTGAGGCCTTCCTCTAATGGTAACTTTTCTATTAAATCCGCTTATAAAGCTTTGAAGATCCAAATGGATCAAAACCACTCTAATATCTAGTCCAAGATTTGGAAGAGGCCCACCTATGAGAAAATTAAATATTTCCTTTGGAAATTAAAGCTGCTTAAGATCATCTCCAAACCAACTACACATGTACTAATGGAAATGCTCCACAGCAACATTCTTGCCCCATGGGTTGTAACTTCCCTGACTCTTCTATTCATATTTTGCATGATTGCAAGTAAGCTAAAGAGGTTTGGAGAAGTTTAGTGAATTCTACAAAACTTAATTCATTTTTCTCTCTTGATATGCATGATTGGATGATTTAGAACTCTAAGAATGAAGCAGGCAATTTGATTACAAGAAGAATTCCTTGGCAAAGACTTTTTTCCTAAGCATGTTGGAATATATAGAAAGCCAGATGGAGGAAGATCTATTTTGAAGATGATATTCTAGAAAGCAGCATTTTCCTTCTCCTACACTCAATAAATAATCAATAACCTAAAGCTTCAATCCAAGATCAACCAACTGAGCAAACAAGACAACATATTTAAAGCTAAATGAAACCCTCCTAAACCTAGTTAGGCTAGACTCGACATTGATGACTTGGTCAATACTAATAGTATTGCTGCCTGTGAAGGCATTGTTAGATATGATCAGAAAAATTGAATTAAGGGATTTTTCAAAAACCTTGGACACTATCCCAACACAGTAAATGAGCTCTTGGGAATTTTAAACGGCCTCAACCTTTGCTGAAATGAAAAATTATCTAAAATTAATGTCTACTTAGATTCCATGAAAACTTTATCACTTATTGATAACATTTGCTAGATAATCATCCTCTCTCCATGATTATCAAGAATATCTTTATGAGAAATTGAGTAGTTATTTTTGACCATGTTTACAGGGAAGCAACAAATGCATTGATCTTCTAGTTTATAAGACACCTTATCATCATTTTGATATTTGTGTCTTTAACAACCCACCCACCCGCTTGACTCTAATAGCCTTATGGCTATAGACATGATTAAATATTAGCCTTTTGCATAGTTATCCCATGGCCTTATATATATATATATATATATATATTTGAAAAAAAGTTACAAGGAAAAAGAAGAGCAACTGTGTACTGAGCGACCTGTTCTTGCCGGGTCCTCGGAATGATGAGAACAGCCAGCAGGAAAGTTGGGCTGTTTACGGCGTAGTCCCACCCAAGGATCGAAGTCTATCGATGAGTTTTGTTCCAACTCAGCCGACTGTTTTCTCTCTTCCAATGCCGACATTTTGTGACGTGGACAAATCTGCATCATGTGTAATTTTGCAATGCATTACTCTTATGTGTCTATTTATAAATATTTTTTAACATATTTTATAAGATCAAGAAAAATATTAAAACTTATTAATTCAATTTTAAAATATAATAAGGTTTACTTTGTCTCTAGTAAATAGAGGGGGTTTTAATAACGTATTTTCTGCCATTAACATTTAATGTGAAGTAAAAAATTATAATAAAAATTTAATAATTAGAGGGAATATATCATATGTTTACTAATATTAGGAAATTCAATGTGTAATATATATATATATATATATATATATTGTATTTGCTTACAATTCCAGAACACAAGATTTCTGACATGAGTAAGGCTTTGATTTTGTTTCTATTTTTAATTTTTAATTTTTTTAATACAATCTTCAAGTTATTTTTTAAAACAAAAAAAATTTATTCCAAAAACAGTTTAAGAATTAAAAAATCAACCGACAGTGATGATGGCCGACGGTTAACAGTAGTGGCCTCTAATAGTGATTATTCAAAGTAAATATAATTTTTAATAATCAAATGTAATGTATTCTTTCAAAAAAGTAAAATAAAAATAGCTTTAATAAATTTTATCTTTTGTTTTAAAAAAATAGAACAATTTTGATAACAATTAGATTTAAATCACTTATTTAAATTATTTTTTTGTTTTTAAAACAGAAACCAGGCATGCCTAATACTCAATTTTTTCATGATCGTATAGCATTTTTAACTAACTTTTACTTTTGAGAAAATAGCCAACATCATTAAAATTTACACACTCTTTATGTGTCTATCCCTATTTAGTTGGACAATTTAATCACCAAAGAATATGAAAATCTCATTAATTTCAATTATTCATTAAGGGAGTGTTTGGATTAGTAAATTTGAGTTTATATTTTATATGTTAAACTTAAAATTTAAAATCTCATATTTAAAATTTATGTATTTAAAATTTTTATTTGGATAGTATAAAAAAGTCAAATTTAAAGACAATGAAAAGGAAGATGAGAAACGAAAAATGAAAAAGAGATGAGAATGTGAGAGTAGCTAGAGATGTATGATGGATTTGAAATTACAAAAATTTTATAATACAATAGTATAAACTATATTTGGATTGGATCAAATTTAAATTCATAAATTCTTATGGATCCAAATCTTCCTACATCTAAACACAACATGTATTTTTAGAAAAATATCATTAATTAACGTTCCTAGGAAACACCAGAATTTCTAATATTTTTAAACATGATAGAATATCTTTCAAAAAATATTTTATAATTTTGAAACATGAGAATTAATTGCAATAAAAGCCCATAAGTTTTGCATCAGGTATTGTATTATAAAAACACATATATGTTATTATTAAAAGTTGAATCTTATCTTGTTAAATTTCTAAGAAAATTCTAACAAAAAATTCAAGTTAAGGTTCTTATTTTTAACAACAACATATACGTATTTTTATAAGACAATATTTGATGCAAAACTTGTATACTTTTATTGAGATAAATTCTTTTAAGAGGACCTTAAATGTCATTCTCCCATTATAATTATTCTATGTAAGCTATCAAATAATTATTTTAAATTAAATGTATTTAGGGCCCGTTATTTTACATAAATCAAATTTATACTCCCACTCACTCAGGATATGATCTTTTCCTCTTCTATTTCTATCATATTCCCTCCTATAAAATTATTATTAAAATATTAAATTATAAAAAATAATGAAATTCAAACTGTTAACAATTAATATAAATAGTTAAAAATACTATAAAATGAAATATTATTTTAAAAAAAAGTCAAAACTAAACCACCCAAATATTAAATGACTTAGGCGACCCATATATAGATGTACTCTACATGGTGCTTATCACCATGATAAGCACCGAAGACAGAACCCCTCTCCTGCATCACTCGAGATTTGATCCAACAACTCTCTCTCTCTGAAGAATATGGACTGCCATTTAAGCTAAGAAGCACGAGGCTCGGGTCCTAGCTCCGCCATTGAGCGAAGCAAACATGTAAAAGTAAAAGAAGAGGCTGACAAAATGAAAAAAAAGTGGCAAAAGAAGAAAGGGGACAAGGAGGGAAGTAGTAGAGAAGCTGAAGAGTGAAGAGTTGGAGGAGTTAGAGGCGCACCTTGGTGATCACTTGCTAGCTACGTAGTACGTACGTACGTGCTCTGGAGACAAAGGAACAACTTGATGGTGAAGCAGAAGGGGAAGGAGCAGCGTGCAGCTCTCGATCTGCAATTCTTTCTACTTTTGAAGAATACAAATGGTAGATCCAAGTACCATTTAATTTTATCCCTATAATTTTGAGTCAGTTGTAACAATTAATTCTTAAAATTTAAATTATTGTAACTCAATTTTTATAATTTTAATTTAATTATAACTCAATCATTAAATTTTGACTTGGTACCGTTATAATTCAATCATTAAATTTTGACTCGGTACAACTCAGTTTCTATAATTTTAATAATTTAAAATATTTTTATATTTTAAAAATAAAATTATTTTGCACAGATTGAAATTATTTTAATTTTAGTAATTATTTAAAAATTTTGGTCTTTATAATCTTTACAGACATTGAAATTTTTAGTAATTTAAAATATTAGTTCCTAAATTTTAAAATAATTTTAATCTTTATACTTTTAAAATGCAAGGATTAATTTTTTAATACTTAAAATTATAAGAACTGGGTTGTATCAAATCA